CTATTTCTTCTTCGCGGACCATCCAAATGGGATTCACTCGATTCACGAAAGTTCGAATGGCACTAATAGCTGAAAATATGGTTCACCAAAGCCTGGCCGGGGGGAAATTTTTTCCGGCACTTCACCCATTTCTTGGGTATGTCTGAACTTGGCGGAGAGATTGACCCAGACTTGAACACCAATCGTGGTGGTAGATATATGGTTCGGGAAAGTCACACCGTCTCGACACCTGTTTCGCCTCGGTCGACTTTGCCTCTGTAAGAGATTTTGAATTCGTGACGATGAAACCATTCACGAACTGCTCACCACGAGAGATAGTCATTGTTCGTCGGTTCTGCTGGATAACTCAAGGGAATATATTGCAAACATTTCGCATTTGGTTTGTCCCAAGCTCGGAATACCGAGTGTCAAGAACTGGCAGGCAGACTACCAATTTCACATTGATGATATCCACATCACTCGAAGGCCGTTGATTCTGAATGAGCAAGAACTGGCAGAGGAAGAGCACATTATCTCAATTCGAGTACTTCTGATCGGCAAATTCGCATATAAGCTTTTACTTGTGCCACAGAGGCTGTAGAGCAAAATCTGGAGCAACTACCCGTCCCATAGAGGGAAAACCCATAATGTGTGAAAACGACGGGCGACACTCTCCCAGTCAAAGAGGAAAACCAATATAAGGTGGCATGAGGGACTGCATGCTCGAGTGAGACCAATTCAGAGCTACTGCACACCGGATTGTCAACTCAGATACCTGTAGATAACCTCGATGAGATTTAATCGATCAGAATGGCGTGCGCTAATATTGATAATGATCGATATGTCGCGCTCGCCACGTTCGCTACGGCCACGGTTCGTCGGCCCAACGCCCTGGCACTGGTGCACACAGAGTGGAATTCACTGGAAATGGTAGTAGGGGTACGGGAATCTCTATCGGCCTCACTCGCTGTGCTAAACGTGATGATGCTCTCTTTTCAGTCCATGCTCAAGCTTCAACGCCGTTTGGCAGCTTCTGTTGCCAAGTGTGGTAAGAACCGCATCTGGATTGACCCTAATGAGACCATGGAGGTCGCTACTGCTAACTCCCGTAAGGGTGTTAGGAAGCTCCTCGATGACGGTATCATCATGAAAAAGCCCGTAAGTCCCTTAGAGTCGCTCTCCCTTATCTTTATCACCCCATCAGGTCGCGATGCACTCTCGTTCTCGCGTTCGCAAGAACCTCCTCGCCAAGCGCAAGGGTCGCCATACTGGTCCCGGCAAGCGTAAGGGTACCGCTGAGGCCCGCATGCCCACCAAGGTATTGTGGATGAGGCGTCAGCGTGTTCTTCGTCGTCTCCTGAGGAAGTACCGCGAGGCTGGCAAGGTGGATAAGCACATCTACCACTTCTTCTACATGAAGTCTAAGGGTAACACCTTCAAGAACAAGCGTGTTCTCATCGAGGCCATCCATAAAAGGAAGGCCGAGACTGAGCGTGCCAAGCTCCTCGAGGAGCAGACTGAGGCCCGTAAGGCCAAGGCCCGCGCTATGAAGGAGAAGCGTTCTGGCAAGGCTACTACTGTCGAGGCTGAGGCTACTGTTGCTGCCCCCGTTGCCAAAACCGTCGAGGTCGCTGCTGAGCCCGCTAAGGTCGGCAAGAAGGCTAAGAAGTAGATGAGTTCCCTCCCACGATGAGTTTGCTATGGACTTACGCCGCCGCTCGCTCTGTGTAACTCGTTTCCACCAGGACTCGGGAGTTGACTGGTGGTGTTAGTAATCAATGAGTACTTCCAGGTATAGGGTGAATCCGTGATGAGGTTGCGCTTGGGGTTTCACTTAGTGTTGGGTTTGTGGAGTTTCGCCGACCCGACCCTTACGAGTAATGCAACATACAAACTAAGGTGTGAATGAGTACTACGCTAGAATAAGACTTAGTCGAAATTAGAAGGTTAATGAGAATCTACAGGGTGTTAAGAACCCCTTATGATTTCTCAACCCATGCGAATAGCAGTCAAGTTCAGGCACCGTTTTGAAGCATTCGGCGAGCTCAATCCAGCTGCTCGAACAGCTCCCATGCTCGCTGAGTAATAACGAAAGAGAAAAACCGTCTTAAAGGATAAGTGGTGGTAAAATCTATTTTACAGTATTTGCGTTCATCCGTGGTCCAACATATCGGTACGCAACGCTGTTTCATCATTTGGCTTTAAATGTTTTTATCATTTTCACCTTTTGCGCCGCCAGTGAGCTTGGTGGAACCGCCTATGCTATATCTGCGAACACTGCAGAATGTTGCATACGTTGAAAAGTTATGAGGGGTGCGCCCTTTTTTCTCAACACCTTGTATTAGAAGTTTTCCACACCAGATGAATATCTCTGTTGTCTGAGTGCCGTGTGAAAATGTGTCCTGGAGGATAAATCAAAGGAGTATATGTCACGCGAGTGGTATGCAAACGGTGGTATACGAATATCTAATGAAATGTTATATCTCGACACTATATTCTGTGTAGGATATGGGGAAGGATCTGGTTGGTGGCCATAGCCACGTCGCTGGAACTCATATTCGTCCACTTCTTCCTCATCAGCAACGATGAAATCTTATCGCGGTGAAGTCGTTAGTGCTGTCAGAATCACAAACGATGTACGCAACAATTCTAATGAGCTCCTTCTCCCTCTGTGACTTTATACATTTTCTCTTCTACAGGGTTGGTGAAGTTAATCGTACTTTGATCAACTTTCGCATTTCTAGCAAGAGATCTCCCATCGCTGCTTTAGTCTGCTACGTTGGGTTTACCTCTTGCTCTTTATTGACAACGTGAAGAGGTTTTCATGTCCATCGTTATCAATATCATCTGAACAGCCAACAAAATTACTCATCGTCAACCACATGCGTCTGAGGAAATTTTGAGGGATTCTCGCTGGCTTTTATGTACTTTCAAAACAATTCGTATGATCAATGAATAAACTCACGAGCGCAGCTGAGGAAAGCGAACATATATTGCAACACGCGTGCGTCACATATGTCGATGAACTATGACAGTGTCACATAGCGGGTTCTGCTCTGTGGTTTCCGCTGAACCCCGTGGAGGGAGAGGGAGATTCGGTCTCGCGTTTACAGTTTTCATGAATTCGAGTAGAAATGTGTAAAAACCAAGAATTTTCCCAAAAATTTTCTACGAATTTTCATATTGTCACCAACTCGCACATTCATTGACAGGATCATCTTTGGAAGCACCTACGGCTAACGAGTTGGTCTAATAAATAACTATTGTTATAACATCGCTACCGCGATTAGAACCGGGGACCTATGCTTTCTCGTCAATCTCGCTACGCCCTGCTAGACATTACTTTAAGTTCACCTTTCATACGTAGAGCACGATAAACTGTCAGTCGTGGTATTCTTCATGCGTAGGTTTGCATCTGGCTGTTTTGCATGATAGCGTAGTTCATGTTGGGAACTACGCCACCGTTAAGGAACTTCTGTAATAATTCGTTCCGCGTGTTCAATAGACCTTCGAGAGCCGACCCAGGATTAGGTATCACATGTAAAACACTCGATCTTGGGTGCGCTCTTAGAACTCAGGAGAGGCGGTCTATCGAACCTCGCCCCAATTATATACTCATATCTTTGCTCGTCGCCCGCCCGACCGTTTTGCTCTATACTATCTCGTAACAGCATGATCAATTAAGCAAGATTAAGGTATGATTTTTCTCCCATGGTTGTGTTGAACGATGATCTGGACAACTCCCCCAACACGGCAAACGAGTCTGTAATCCCCGACGAGCATAATTATGATCATCAGTTCTTGGGCTTCACTTCGTTTATTGTCTGTGTGATAGTATGTGACTCCTATCGAGTGGCTGAGATACTTTTTTCTAACCATTATATGTATTCTTTACAAATATGCTTTTGTGATCGTCCAAGTTAACCTTGAAAAGGTAATGTAAATGTGCGCGCGGTCAACAACGCGTGCTGTTTACGAGGTGAAAATTTCGGGAAGTTCTCGTTGGTTTCTGTACACTTCGTATATAAACTTTTACAATTAATGAGGAAAGCGAACATATATTCTAGTACGGTGTAAAGTGTGTTTGGGTTTCGCATTTCTGATTTGTTTTTCCACAAGTTTTTACCAATACTAATGTCAATAACTCGATTGGAATGCACTTGATGGGAAAGTGTTATTCTAAGGTAGAATAGGGCACTGCGAAAACGTGAGCGTATCGCACGACAAGTTGTCGTTTAATATAAGGATTAGAAAAACTTCGCAAAACTAATCGAAAACTTCTGTGAGCTCCGTGTGGAATTAAAAAGCTCAGGTGTATTTCGCTACTCTAAGACTTATTGTAAACGCGATAGGAAAATGTGTAGATAGTCGGAAAAAGTTTCCGAAAAAGGTTGGGAAAAAATGGGAAAACTTCCCAATCTTAGTCAAAACCGCTTATCGCATGCTCTGTCGTGGACAACTATTCGAAGTTATGATGGTTATATTAGAATTGCTGAGATCACAGATGTACCGCTGCAGCTGGAAATATAAAATTACTCGTTGACTCGAATTCATTTTCACTGTTTCTGAGGAGAACTGAATTCGACCAATCTCAACAGGGGAAGCTACCGAAAACTGACGACTACTCGTAGACGTCTGTGGCTATCCACTGCATGTATTTCCCACCGATATCGAAGTTATAGATACGATATTGTTTCCGGGTAGAGCCTAAAAGCCCAGAATCAGTAGTGTCTTCACCACGCCTAGTAGAAGCGACTACATGGGCGATCAAACTCCAGCGTGCTATCGCTGCTACTATAACGAGTTCGGCAGAAGATAAGGTGGTCAAGTTGAGCCTCAATGATGATCAAGGACTTCAATTGGTGGGTTTAAGATGTTCATGTGGGAAATTCTGGGGAAAATTTTGGGGAAATTTTCGCTGGTTTCTGTACATTTTCAGCCGAATTTCAATGATAAGTGGGGAAATATATTCCAATATTGATTCATACTCTCATTTTGTTCATCAGGAAAGTCCCAGAGTAGCTGAGGTTCAATTTCATCCCGTAGTAGAAGCTACTCTTTTCACTCCGTCGCCGTCGCCACGCTCGAGGAAGCTCATGCTAGGTAGAGCGTCGGGAAAGGCGTTAGCCATGGCTTTTTATGAACTGGAAATGGTTCGTTTTCGCTGAGTTTATAAGAGGCATCGATAAAGAAATATAATAAAAGCCTATCATTGATATAGATATGAGATTAATGGAGTTTTTCACCCGTGATATGAAAAATACATTTCACGACTATTGCATATCACCGCGAATATCTTGTTTTTCATTGAGTTTTACGCCACTTCACGTAAAATGGGTGAAACTCCTTTATTAAATAGAAGTGATTATAAAATAGTGAAGTTTTCCGCGTTTTACGTACAGTGGCGTAATACTCCATGTGAAAAACGCGAAATTGGCGATATGAAGTGAATTAAAAACACCTCGCGAATTGCATCGCACAAATCACCCCATTTCACGCGTTTTATATGTTATTCTCTGCTCGCATGCGTTTTTCGCGAAGTGAAATTTGAATTTTCTTTTTCACTAGTGTTTTCCATACCACTGACGAAACTCTGGTGTAATATTATAATTTGGTTTTCTCTCTCAGATAGAGCCAACGCACTGCCCAGTGCCTCTATGGGGGTCCTCAGTTTTAGCTCAAGTCCTCGGCATTCTCCCCGACCGGCCTTCTAAGGGATTTGTATCATGCATATATCGTATTGTCTGTTGTCGTTGATATTTCTATGTTGAGTTTGTTAGGATGCAGATTTTTATTATCATTAGTTGAGATCTGCTATGCGTGGCTTATCGCAGTCTCCCTTGCCAGCAGAGACACGCGTTGGAGGGTTGTATGCTTTGGGTAGTACTTGGGTCAACTTCTAGTTTCAAATTCGGAAATAACTAACTGATCTACCAAATAAATCGTTTCGGGCGCTACGAAAATACGTGAAATTTTGGCTATCAGTTTTTCATGGTATTTTGCATTTGGTGGCAAAATATCAAATACTCGTTTACTAGAAAGAACGTTTCGAAATCTCCTACACTTGCATGAAATACCCTTTGACGTTTTCAGGGCGAAAACTTGGCAGTGGCTCTTTCGGGGAGATATTTCTCGCGGTGAATGTCCAGACGGGAGAAGAGGTAACGATGGTTAATTACGTGGGTTGGGGACGAAATGAGAACTCTGATAAAATTTCGGTAGATTCTTGTTGGTTTTTGTATATATTCACTCTGAATCGCGAGGAAAATCCTGGGCTCACTTGAGGAAACCAAATATATATTCTCAACGAGGTTGGTAAAAAATCAAATACTAGGACATAGTAAAAGCACACGCGGCGTTATCGCTTCTCGAAATGCTCAAAGGGCAGGTTGCTGCTAAATTGGAAAGTGTTAAGTCCAAGCATCCCCAGCTTTTATATGAAGCTAAGCTCCTAAAGCATCTCCAAGGTGGTCCGGGAATTGCCAATGTACTCCGGGGGGGGGGGGGTGCAAATGTGAAGAATGTGCGTTTTCTATTCCGGGGTTGATGGAGTTTCACCCGTGATATGAAAAACATATTTTACGACTACTATGTAGTGCGAATATCGCGTTTTTCACGGAGTTTTACACCAGTTCACGTAAAACGGGTGAAACTCCAATGATAGTGAACAATTTGTCGCTATCATAGTCTCGAAAGGTTACTTTTATCACATCACATGTTCATAGCAATGTTTATGCGAGATCGATTCTTATTAATCTCGGATTAACACACATCTGCATTGTATCAAATTCACAAGCACTGTATTTGCTAGGTACACTATTGCGATGTTGAAGGAGAATACAACGTACTGATAATGGACGTCCTTGGTCCCAGTCTAGAAGATCTGTTCAATACGTGTAACCGAAAATTTACTCTTAAAACTTCTCTCATGCTGGGAGATCAAATGCTACATAGGATAGAGTACAACTACTACTTAGCAAAAGTTTGAAATTGGAATTTTTATCAGATACCTACACTCGAAAAATTTTATTCATCGCGATATGAAGCCCGACAACTTCTTGATAGGTCGTGGGAAGAAAGCGGGGACTGTTTTCTTGATCGACTTTGGACTAGCAAAAAAGTAAATCGAATCGCGCGGGTATGATATTATGGAATCAAAACATTTTTGGAAGCGATTACCGACTCACGCGAAAAGGCGTAATACTCTATGTGAAAAACGCGATATGGAGTGAACCCACTTCCCTAGTTAGGACTTCTTTTGCTTAGCAAAAACGTTTTTCGCAGAGTGAAATGTGAAATATGTGTTTTTTTCATATCACGGGTGAAACTCCAATGTGAAATAGTTGTTTTTATTCACCAAAACGAGTGAATGTATGTGAAATTGAAGTTCCTTTCACAGAATGTGTGTTAACTCTCCGAAAATCCAACAGGAAAGTTGCATGTGTTCGGAGTTGTTTTCACAGTGTTGGAGGACCACTCAGCTGAGCTTGGGAGTTTCCTCGCTAATTATAGTAGTTTGTATACGAATTCAGGTAGAAGTGTACGGAAACAATCGCTAAATTTTCCTAGGATTTGTTTGAAGTTTCATCCGTTTTATGAAAAACACTAGTGAAAAACATATTTTACATTTCCTTACACGAAAAACGCATGTGATCAGTGGATGTGTTTCATGTGAAATGGGTTGACTTGTCCGGTGTAATTCGCCAAGTTTTTTTAATTTACTTTATATCGCGTTGTTCACATGAAGTTTTACGCCACTTCACGTAAAACAGGTGAAACTCCATCTTGTCACCAAACGATGTAGTCCCAGGTTGTCAAGTTGATACAATGGAGTTTCACCCGTTTTACGCGAAGTGAAATGTGAAATGTGTTTTTCACTAGTGTTTTTCGCATCATTAGGGTGAAACTCCAATAGTGTTCAGGTCAGAGAATGATCGAGAAAAATATAATGTCCCCGAGGGGAACTCACCTTGAAATCACCACTTGAATAGAAACACATTCTTCGATGAGTTTCCCATGTGGATGTCATCTTCGGAATAATTTTCCCATT